CGAGAGATCCGCCTCCACCTGGAACGGGAAGAGCTCCTGCGACGGCAGAGGGGCCTGGCCGGCTCCCGGGGGGCCCCGGAGTACGTCGAGGTGCGGATCAGGCCGTTCCTGAGCCAGAGCGTGCCGCCCTCCCCGCTGGCGAAGGAGAAGGAGCTCCAGTGGGCCGGCGTCCAGATGCAGCGGGAGATCCGCCGGGAGTGCCAGCGCGAGGAGGACCTGGTGCAGCTGGGGAAGGTGCGGGGGGCCTACGACCGCGGGACCCCGCGGGAGCTGCAGGAGAAGAAGATGATCTTCGAGCAGGCCGCCCCGGAACCGCCGGCCCCCGCGAAGACCGTGCCCGGCAGCTCGGAGGGGACCAGGGAGCGGCCCTGCGCCGAGACCGACGGTGCCACCGGCCCAGTAGCCCAGGCCCTGCCCGAGAGGCCCTCCACGGCCAACCCCTTCTTCTCCTTGCGGGCCAAAAGCCCCCAGTCCCTCCTAGAGCGGGAGGTCCAAGAAGCCCAGGAGCGAGAATGGGAGCTCCAGAGGCAGAGGAGGAAGATCTACGGCTCAGCAGTGCTCACCCGGCAGCCCGAGGAAGCATTGGGTCAGGATGCGGAGGTGCCCTTCCAGCCAGGTGAGCTCTGGAGTGTGTGTCTCTGTGTGTGTGTCTCTCTGTGTGTGTCTCTGTGTGTGTGTCTCTGTGTGTGTGTCTCTGTGTGTGGGGGTGTTGGCACTTCCACCCATGCGCGGACTCTAATCTGGGAGAACCAAGTTTAATTCCCCACTCCTCCAGTTGCACCTGCTGGATGACCTTGGGCAAGCCGTAGTTCTGGCCAGAGCTGTCCTGGGAAAAGAGCCGTTTCTGTCAGAGCTCTCTCAGCCCCGCCTACCTCACAGGGTGCCTGTTGTGGGGAGGTAAAGGAGTTTGTAAGCCGCTCTGAGACACCTTTGGGTAGCAAAGGGCGGGGTATAAAAACCCAATCTCTCTCTCTGTCTCTGTCTCTGTCTCTCTCTCTCTCTCTCAATGCACTTCAGCCATCGCTTGCCGATGGATTCTGCCGTTTCACGCGGTAAGATCCAGTTGCAAAGTGCACGGAAAGAGGGTTGGGAGGGGGCCATGCAGCACAGAATGTCGGAAGTCACCATCTCCGGATACAGAGAAACAGTGTCACTGAACCAAATGGGACGGTAGGCCAACGAGAAAAATTCACAAATACCTCCCCCCCCACACACACACCCAGTGACCAATGTTCCCTCTAAGCTGTAGAGTCTTGTGAGCAAAAATTCTACTTTGTGAGCTACTGGCATTAAAGTTGTGAGCAAGCCATTTGGCTACTGCATAAATTAGTTTGCTCTCGAACCATCCTTCCTGAGCAAAGACAAAAATCTGTGAGCCGGAGGCTAAAAAACTGTGAGCTAGCTCACACTAACTCAGCTTAGAGGGAACACTGCCAGTGACCCCAGTTTGGGGGGTGAGGCTTGGGGCTGTAAGGTTTGGGGAAGTGCGGGACCTCAGATTGTATAACATTTGCTTCTTTGTATGTTTAAAACATAGAAGCATAGAGTTGGAAGGGATCCCCAAGGGTCATCTAGTCCAACCCCCTGCCCAATGCAGGAAATTCACAAATACCTCCCCCCCCCACACACACACACAGTGACCCCTGTTCCATGCCCAGAAGATGCAAAAAGACCTCCAGTATCTCCAGCCAAACTGGCTTGGAGAATAATGGCTTCCTGACCCCAAAGTGGCGATCGGCATTTCCCTGGGCGTGTAAGAAAGGGGCCACGAGGACTAAGCCATGGTGCAACCAGTGTCCCCTCTAAGCTGAGTTGGCGTGAGCTAGCTCACAGTTTTTTAGCCTCTGCCTCGCACGTTTTTGTCTTCGCTCAGGGAGGAGGGCTCCAGAGCAAAGTAATTTAGGCAGCAGCCCAATCGCTGGCTCACAACTTTAATGCCGGTCGCTCACAAAGTAGAATCTTTGGTCACAAGACTCCACAGCTTAGAGGGAGCATTGGAGGCGACCCTTCCTGCTCTCCCTCTTGTGAGCCGCCCAAGTTCACAGAATCAGCATGGGTGTCAGGTGGCCGTCTAGCCTCTGTCTGAAAACCTCCCAAGGAGGAGAGCCCACCACCACCTCCCGAGGAAGCCTGTTCCGCTCAGGAACCGCTCGAACTGTCAGGAAGTCCTTCCTAATGTTTCGACTCTTCGGATTTAATTCCGACTCGTTGGTTCTGGTCCGGCCTTCTGGGGCAAAAGAAAACTACTCCGCACCATCGTGTGTCTGTGCATGCTGGGGTTCTGATTGATTCACTTTAAAACATCTATTTGCCACCATTCCGGCCTTATAGGCACTCAAGGTGGCTTGCAATATAAATAGTAATGAAAATACGTCAAGACCAGTGTTCCCTCTAAGCTGAGTGAGTGTGAGCTAGCTCACAGTTTTTTAGCCTCCAGATCACACGTTTTTGTCTTCGCTCAGGGAGGAGGGCTCCAGAGCAAACATAATTTACGCAGGAGCCAAATCGCTCGCTCACAACTTCAATGCCAGTCGCTCACAAAGTGGAATTTTTGCTCACAGGGCTCCACAGCTTAGAGGGAGCATTGGTCAAGACCACTCGTTAGGGTTGCTGGGAAATTCCTGGAGATTTGGGGTGTTAAGTCGCTTGCTTAGCCGGGGAGAATGACCCAGAGTCCACCTTCCAAAGTCGCCGTCTCTTCCGGGAAGAACTGATCTCTGATGTCTGGAGATTGGTTGGAATTCTGGGAAAGCTCCAGCTCCCACCTGGGGGTTGGCAACCCTCTGGGGTTACCAACCCCCAGGTGGGAAATTCCTGGAGATTGGGGTGGAGCCTGGGGAGGAAGAAGAAGAAGAAGAAGAAGAAGAAGAATTGGATTGGATTTATACCCCATGGCCCTTCACTACCCAAAGGCGTCTCAGAGCGGCTGACAATCTCCTTTCCCTTCCCCTCCCCACAACAGACACCCGGTGAGGTAAAAGAAGAAGAAGAAGAGATTGGATTTATACCCCATGGCCCTTCACTACCTAAAGGAGTCTCAGACTGGCTGACAATCTCCTTTCCCTTCCCCTCCACACCACAGACACCCTGTGAGCAATGCTCCCTCTACGCTGTGGGATCTTGTGAGCAAAACATTCTCCTTTGTGAGCTACTGGCAATACAGTTGTGAGCGAGTGACTTGGTGACTGCATAAATTAGTTGGCTCTGGAGCCCTCCTTCCTGAGCGAGAGGCCAAAAAACTGTGAGCTGGAGGCTAGGAAACTGTGAG